TGGTCATTAAATGACCCTACCAGTCTTCTGAATTTCTTTTATTTACTATGCATTCTGGTGCTGATTACAAGCATAGAAGCCGCGGAATAATACTTTAAGGCTAAAACTGATAGGCAAAGAAACTGAACACTTTGAAGCTTTATATTTCTGTGTTTTGGCTTAGAAAAATGTGAAGTCAGTCTGATTCGAACAACACTCCGTTTTTTCTTTGAAGATTTCGTGAAACTGAAGCCTTAAAAACATTAAAGAAACTTCATTAACGCAAGCAAACTATCCGTAACATTACTAATCATTGTCATGTTGTGAATTACTATTTATTTTCTGAGACGTGTCTACAGAAAACTGGATACGATGTGGCTACATTATTCGGTGTACTTCAGTTGTTTAAATTGTGAAGTACAATATCCTTGAGGTACTGGATGAGTTGGATCTATGCTGACTAGATGAACAAGGTGAAACCTGAAAAGCTGAAAGCTCTACCTTTTATATACTTGTATACACAGCTCCTATAAACCTTCTGTTGTTAGTCCAGGTCTCAATCCTCAATTAAGAAGGAGGGTAGGGCATAGGCTGAGAAATCTCATCCCGTAGAAAACTCCGCCTGGAGTCCCTCCGGGGGCTACTGCCGGTCCCAAGCCCGGATAAAGGAGGAGGGTTGGGCATGGGGTTAGCGTCCCCATCCCGTAGAAAACTAACTCGCTAAAAAAACGTTAACCATAGAAAAAAAGCTTGATAAAAAACACTGAACAGAGAAATATATTCCAACCATTTGAACTCTGACATGGGCGTTGAAGGATCTTGATTTAAAGGAATTATGGAACCCCATGGTGAAAACAGAGATTTTTCGTATACAACGAAGAAATCAGAAGGGGAATACAATAAACGAGAGAGGCAGGTCAAGGAAAAGAAGGCAAGTAAATCACTGAGTTTCAAGAACAAAGGAAAAGATGGGTATAGCGCCTAGAAAAACTCTCAAATAGATCAGCTAAATTGATTCCACCAGACATTAAAACAACACACACAGACCTTCGTATAGATGTCATTCCACCAAATATCGAAGAAATCAGGATGGCCATCAGACAAACCAAGAGTGGAAAAGTAGCAGGACCTGACAGAATACCAGATGAAGCACTGAAGTTAGACATAGAATCAACTGAAAACATGCTCCATATTCTATTCAGGAGGATTTGGGAAGAAGGGGAAGTGCCAACGGACTGTAAAGAAGGATATTTCATCACGATACAAAAGAAAAGCGATCTGAGCAAATGTGGAAACTACAGGGCCATCACACTACTATTAGTACCAGGAAGAATTTCCAACACAGTGTTGTTGAACTGGATCAAGGATTCGGTAGACTTGCTTGATTATGAGAAGGCATTTGACATTGTGGATAGGAAAACTTTATGGGATCTGTTTCGACACTGTGGTTTACGTGAGGAAATTTTCAATATCATACGGAATTCACACAACGGATCACACTGAAAAGTGGTGCACGAAGGACAGCCGAGAGACGCACTTCAAGTGGGGACGGCAGTCAGACAAGATGGATTACTGTCGCTCGTTCTCTTTCTTCTGGTTGTTGACTGGATTATGAGGACCACCGAATCTGAAGGAAAGCATGGATTACAATAGACAGTTTGGATGCAACTAGACCATTTGGATTTCGCAGATGGCCTGGTTCTTCTATCCTATATGTACCAACAAATGCTGATGAAGACAAGCTGTGCAGTAAAACCTCTGTAACGGTATGCCTCGACATTCACGAGAGAAAAGCAAGACCCTCAAATACAACACAGAGAACACCAACCCAATCACACTTGATTGAGAAACTCTGGAAGAGCTGGAAAGTTTCACGTAACTGGACATCATCGTCGATAAACAAGGAGGATCCGATGCAGACGTAAAGGCGAGGATTGGCAAAGAAAAGGCAGCATTCTTACAGCTGAAGAACATATGGAACTCAAAACAACTGTCAACCAATATCAAAATGAGAATCTTCAATACGAACGTCAAGACAGTTTTACTGTACGGAGCTGAAATTCGGAGAACTATCACAACCATCATCAAAAGGTACAAGTATTTATAAACAATTGTTCATGTAAGATACCCAATGTCCGTTGTTCGGATACCATCAGTAACAGCCTACTGTGGGAGTGAATAAACCAGCTTCCAGCTGAAGAGGGAATTAAGAAAAGACATTGGAAGTGGATAGGACATATATTGCTGAAAATATCAAATTGCATCCCGAAGCGAGTCTTAACATGGAATCGTGAAGGGAGACGGAAAAGAGGAAAGCCAGAGAACACACTATATCGGGAATCGGAATCGGACATGAAAGGGATGAATAGCAAGTGGGAACAACTGGAAAG